GGAGATGACTGTGCAGATGTTTAAGGAAAAGCAGCCCAGACAGAAGAAACCATCAAAGCAATGGCCATGCTGTGGAAGTGTGCTCCATAGGAATAGGAGGGGTAGAGAGTGTAGTGTATGAAATATACTATATAATACATAGTATGTAGTGTGTATGTAGGTGTGTAGTATACACACCTAGAGAGTATAGACCAACAGGAGACACCTGACACACTCAAGCTTTCAAAGCTCTGCATTTACCTCGAGAGCAAGCCGACCTCAGGAACACAGTCCCCAGTCACAGATGCTAAGGACAATGAAGAACGGTGAGAGGAGGGATCACCAGGAACCCAAACAGGCAGCTGAAGCATGGCTAGAGCAGATTCTGCATTGCAGGGTTCTCCAAGAAACTGGGAGACTTCAATCCAGGAGTGCTGGCTTTAAGCTCTAAAGTTGCAAGAGGAGGAGGCCTGAGGGTCTGGGGGAACATAGACTGCCCTCACTGTAAAGGCTTCTAAGTATCCTGGCCCAGTAAGATGGCCACCATTGGGGAGGAGACTTCTGGGGAGGAGAGACAGGCCTGCCAGCCTGGGTTCTGGGAGCAGGGTGAAGAGGTAGAGGTCCTGAAGAGAGAGGGCTACCAAGAAGGCCCCATTAGCAACGGGGCCTGGTTCTCGCTACCCTACTCTGGGCACTCAGTTCAGGGGTGTGGTAAAGGTGAAGACAGGAAGATGGGGCGAGTGGAGGGGGAAGTGGTGGAAATTCCTGCTTTGAGATACTACAAAATGATTTTCTTGTATTTTACTATGACTTTACTGCTTGCTTAAAAATGGGTAATATAAGACACACTTAAAATTAATCAAATTATACTGTTTTAATAGAACTGAACATACTCCAGAAGATTAAGTGGAGGAAGAAATCATGTCTTACAAGCATAAAATTGTAAATAAAGAAATGTTTGTAATATCCTCTGTTAAAGAAAGAGAGCGGAAATCTGGAACGGCCATGAAGGGGAGATGCACATGTATTACTAGTTAGTGGCATTCCCTCCTCACAGCAGTGCTCAAGACAGCCTTGGCCTCCTGGCCTCGGCTGAGTAGTTTTCATGCACAGCCTTTTGGAGAATGTCATAAAATGACTTCGCTGCCCCATAATTAAGTGGGACAGGATGGGATGGTTAGCTTTCTGGTTGATCTTAATGAGGAACACCTAATAAAATGACATTTTTGAAACTCCTAACCCATGGCTATACTGTCTTCTTGACTTCTTTCCTTATTTTTGGAATGTCAAGAGATTAGGTTGTTGCCCCTATCTGGCCATTAATTTAATTCTCTCATCTACTAACCACCTCTGTAGTCCCAGACACCACACACAGGGCTCTGTAAATAAGGACCTAATACACAAGCCGTATCTTCAAGGAGCTTACTGGCTGGAGAGGGGAGGCAGGTAATTCTGACAGTTCCTGGGCAGAGCATTAACTATTGTTACCATAGTTCTTGTGAATGTTGAGCAAGGGCACTCTCCTCGCCTGTGGCTCAGGAAATATAAGCAGTAAGAATGAAGGCTGAGAAAGTCGGAGATGAGCAATTGCTTGTCTACCTAGTGTAGCTGTCCAACCTCTCCTCCACAAGGGTGAGGGAGGGTCTGACAGCTACACTCTACAGAAGCTGCCCTTACAGCCCCCAGAAGAAACTCCACAGCCATTTAGAACAGACACCAACCAGCAAGAGAGAGTAAGTGCCAAGCAGGCTGCTGAAGAATACTGGAATCTCCACTGAGGCTCTCCTCCAGTTATAGCTGTATGCTGTGGTTTGTGAAGACCAGAACCCAACACACACACACCCCCGCCGCACCCCCCCCCCCACTAGAAACATTTGTGTGCTTCTAGAATTTACTGTTCAAGTTATGAACATCTGTGAAGAACTACAAATATGAAGGCTGGAGAGATGATTCAATCAGTCAGGGGTCTGCAGCCACACACGATGACCTGAGTTCGATCTTCCAGGAACCCACTTGGTATATGCAAAGTTAGACTCCTCCTAGGATGAGCCTGCTGTGACCTTAAACACAGTCAGTTGTCTGCAAGACAGTCTCAGGAAGGACGGGACTTCCCCCACTCTCGAGGGGTGGGGACTGTGTAGGGTATGGACACTAGGTGACCGAGCATATGAGGCCACCTGAGGTCTGGCCAGCACCCTCACCTTCAGGATTATGTCGGGGTGGCTGCTTCTGGCATCTTCTTCTGAAGCTTATTCTTCAACTCCATCCCAGAAAAACTCTCCGGGTCAAAAGGGACATTGTCAGCACCAAGTCTAAACTCAACAGAATTATCCTTTTAGAATACAAAGGCATACAGATCTCCCGAGGCTCCCATCACTTCGGAGCCTGCACCTCATTCTGAATGCAGGCCTGCTGTTTTTCTTCCTGAGCCTTCTATCCCACGACATCTATATTTATAGCAACTCCTCTTTCAGGCAAACAGTTTCAGCATGATTTCAGGCTTCTTGTTTTCCTTCCTTGAGCGAATGCATGACCAAGCTGTACCTCCCAGGGGCTGTTCTTACCTGCGGTCTTTGAGCTACTGCATGACTAGCCAGCTCCTCCTACTTTGGCTTCTTGCACTCTGAATTTTTCCACAAAGACAATTTCTCTTGTGAGACTTTTTTTTTTTTTTTTTTTTTTTTTTTTTTTTTTTTTTTTTGCCTTCCTGCTGTTTGCCTGCCTCTAGGGAAATTATCAGCTGTGAGTTGGATCTTGCAGTCTGCGCTGTGGCCCGACTCTGAGAGATGCTTTTCATATACTCAACTAGGAGGGTACCTGGCTTGGAAAAATACTATCAAGGACAGCACAAGCTCCATGGAGCTGCCAGTGCAGTTTAATGAATTCCTTGTCCCTGTGGCTAGGGAATGCCTCTGGAGCTCCCACACACTGAGCAGGCATCTAATCTCCCTGTCTCACTGCTGCAGCCCTCTTTACAAATGGTCTGTAGTGTTTGCCAAGTGGTTTTACAGCCCTCAGATCAGAGTTCCTGGTCTTCAGCAGCAAGGGAGGGCTCTACCCCACTACCTGGTGGCATGTTCCACTCAGATCAGTCCTTTGTGCTGCAAAGGGACCAATTAGAAAACTATTTCTCTTTCCCTGAAGGAATTAGTCATGGCCCAAAATAACCAGCTTCCCGAAGTTTCTTTTTCCCAGCATGTTTAGCAGCAGGAAGAATCAAAGGCTCCTTGGGCGCCTATGGCTTGCTCCCCATTTACACAAACAGGTTTGACGAAATTCAGTTTCTAAAAAAAACATTTAGTTAAGATCAGAAAATCCCAACTGTTTCAAGCTGAAGTTTCCACGTCTGAACCAACTGTTTTTTATATCCTGTTGGCTCAGCCTATGCAGGGAGGAGCCTTGTTGACTTTCCAGGCCACTAGGGGACCTTTTTGGGAAATTATTTTATGGCTCTGTATGACATTCATCAATAATCATGAGTGCAGAGTAATGCTTCTACACAGTTGAAAAGCTGGCTTTGATGTTAGGATGTAATAGATGGGCAAGCGTGTATTTACTCTCCATGGGCAAGAAGCATGTTAGACACATACACAAAAGCAATATATATTCTATAATGGCCTGTGATATTTTATAAATGTATAGGTAATATATTTTACTATGTTAGTGTACATAATTTTTCAGCCAATGTTTTATCATATAATTTTTATGCATGTGCGTGTTTTCACTCCAAAGAGATACTTGAAGAGGGATAATAAAAGTCCCGGTGACATGCTGTGAGTCCCTGTTCACCTCTCTACCAGGCCAGCTATTCACAGATGATGATTTTTTTCCTGTTATTTCTGTTTTCAGATCCTGTGGTTCTTGTTCCTCAGAAACAGGCTGTCTTGTGTTTGTTTTTTGTTCTAGACTTCTGGTATTTAGCTGTTAGCTTTGTACTGTGGTACAGGAGGATGTTTCTAATGTTTTACCCAACTCCAGAAAAGTCCCAAGACATTTTCTTAATCTCTTCTGTTTTCAAGTCTTACCCTAATGGGTTGAGGTACATCTCTCTGGTTAGTTTGCCGGGCACTGTGTAGGGTCTTGGTATTTAAGGATACCCTCCAGTCAGCTCTGAGAATTCTTATTGTGTGTTTTGCCTTTCAAATAATCTTCTGCCTTTTGTTATCTTTTTACTCTCTAGAATTCCATTTATAAAATCTCAGCTGTCCTAGGACTGGCCTCCCTCTCTCCTTCTCTTGCTCCCTCTCTCCCTCCCTCCCCCTCCCTCCCTCCCCTCCCTCCCTTTATTTTCTCCCTACTTGCACTTGGTTTTGCTGTTAAGAAGTTTCCTAAGCCTAGCTCACCTTTTGTCTTCCCTGGATATGTAACTTTGTAATTTCAGCATCTTACTTTCAAGTTCCAAAGCATCCCCTTTGCTTGACAATGATCCTTTTAAGCAGGTACCCATCCCCTCTCTGCTACACGCACGCTGCTATGCATTCTTGAGGATTTGTCTGGTAAGTTCTCTTCTGTTCCCTAATTGCCTTTTATCTTCCAGGGATAGAAGACGTGTTTGTCTTTCTTGTTGTAGGCTTTCCTCACATGTCTGGTGGATTTTGATGGTCTCTCCAGCTGTCAGAACAAGCAATAAGAAGACTCACAGTGGTTCTGTAAGATGTGTCAATGCTAGGCTTTCTCGAATGCTGCAGGATGGTGGAGACCCAGGTAATGAATGAAGACAGCCTTACTTTGGGGCACTACCATCCATACTGGCTGCCATAGTTCTTCTTTAGACCATTCTATTCCATTAGAGAAAAACAGTTTGTTACTTGGCTTACAGGCAAGAACTTTAATTTATATTGCGTTTGGAAATGAGGGAGGGGTGTAGCTGAGGCCAAGAGTTGTACATCCAAACCATCCGCTACCAATGTGATCTTTTAAATCCACCTTTTCTTTTCTTCTTTTTTTCTTTTAGAGCTGAGGATCGAACCCAGGGCCCTAAATCTCCAACCCCAACACATGTTTTTTTTCTTGGTATTTTTTGAGACAGGGTTTCTCTGTGTAGTTTTGGTGCCTGTCCTAGATCTCGCTCTGTAGACCAGGCTGGCCTTGAAGTCACAGAGATCCACCTGTCTCTGCCTCCCTAGTGCTGGGATTAAAGGCGTGTGCCACCACCGCCTGGCACGAATCCACCTTTTGAAATCCATCTGCTCTCTTAATTTAGCCGGGCAGCAGGTACTCCTGTACACTGTTCCATGCAACACGGTCTCCCTCTACTTCCTCTATCTCATCAGTTGGCTGCCTTCTCTCTACTTATTTATTCTTTTTATTTTTCTCAGGACTCAGGATCAAACTCGGGGGCCTTACATATGCTAGACTCAACCCACTGAACTCACTTTTGAATCCTACAAATTTATTTAATTCTCTCAACTTCCTTTTGTTCATTTTGTCAAATGGTTTTGTGTCTGAAGAGAATCCTCTTAGTGAAGTCTCAGCCAAGAGAGATAATGAGTCCATAAAAGTCCGTGTGCTCCACCTTGCCAGTCACGGACGCCTTCAGTTACCTTACCTGGGTTCTGTAGGATGACATAATACAAGTGGAACTTGAAGTGATTGGCCTGATATGAATTCTTTCTCCTCTGCGTGGTCACCTGCTGTGGCTGAGTGGGAGCTGAAAATCACTCTGCAGTCTTTGAACGGTGTCGCTTTACCTCACTGACAAGGCTAAGAGCTGCTGAAGACGTCACAAGCATTTTCTGTAGGTTCCTATGGGACACTCTGCCAGGGGGTTAAGTACAGGTTTCTGATTCCTTTTTGTTTATTGTGAATTTTAGATCTGGTTGGATTTGGTTATTATAATTTGCTTATTATTTTCTTGCCTCTACTGCTTGAACTCAAGTGAGGTAATGGAAGGACCACCACCACCCCCCTCTAAATTTTGCTCAGCTAATGGGTTTTGCAATCACTGGGTTTAGAAATTTCTTTTAATAGTCTTCGCTAATTGCTCCATTTGGAAGGTGTTGGGATCTACTGTGCACAGCGATGAAAGAGGAAGCAACGCCCGGCATCACCCGAGGTGGGGAGCGCAGCCTGGAAGGCGCAGCCCCGGGGCAGCTCATAAATCAAGCATGGACTGCATACTGTAAATAAGCGTAGGAACGCCAATTGGAGCCAGAGTTCAGTGGACACATGCTCTGGGCACGGTTTGCTAGTTAAGTCTTGCAGAAATATGAGGCTCTGGCTGGGCAGAAGCCTTTCAAATGATTCATTTATTCCTAAAGCTGTCTTTGCCTAAGTCTCCCCAGAGCAGATTTAGGATGAGCAACACTTAGGAGCGGATGCCTGCGTTCAGCCTTGACCTTACTTGCTTTCATATCTGTAGGATAATTATCTCTCTTGCCTCGAAACATTCCTTTTCTTACCTGTAAAGAAGGGAGATAGTACTATTTACCACACTGGGTCGTGCTAAGGGCTGAATTTTCTTTACTTTCTTTTGAAGACAAATTCTCACTACATTGCTTAGACTGGTCTTGAACTCACTTTGCAGCCCTGGCTGGCCTCAGACTCACACTCTGCCTTCCCGAGTGTGCCCCACCATGCCCAGAACCAGGACTGAGTTTTAAATGGACTGGTGGCAGTCTCAACACATAGTAGAGTCAGGGAAATACACATTGCTCACCAGCCTGGCTGGGGCAGTCTGTGCTGCCACTGAGGAACATGGGCATCGCTTGGCTGGATCCCAGCCTTGAAACATTATGCTCCCCCATGACTACGTGACTCATGGAAGTAATGGACCTTGGAAGACAAGAAGCACAAATTTGGAACAATTTTGAGAGGAGAGGACGGGGATTAAAGCTGCTCACAAGCCTGTGGAGTTGTGAAATTGATGGCATTTGAGGTTTTAACTTAGGAACAGTTATGTTGGACATATTTTGTTCAAGCCATTTGGAATTTGCAATGATTTTACCTCAGATCCATAGAAATAGCTCTTTTTACTTTTCTTTTTTAGGTTGTGGGCTTTTCTCACAACTGAGCAGGTGGAAGGAAAACTTGCACTGTGGGGCAGTTACCCCTTTTCTGCCTTTCGAAACCCGATGAAGGACTTTTTTTTTTTTTTAAAGAGACAGTGAGGCACCCACAGAAGTGAGTTGGAAGTGGTTCAATACAGTCTCTTTCCTTTGTTTTCTGAGCTCAAAAGGAACAGAAACAAACACAGCTGCTAGAATTCCCAGAGCATGGAACAGAGGTGGTTGAACTGCTCTCCGGACCTCTGCCAGAATGTCTGGGAAGGAATCTTCAGGGGACAGAGCTAACGCCCTAGGGACATTTTTGTACTTCCCTAAGAGGATTTGGAGAAGCCGTGGGTAACATAGCTGAACGACTTTTCACCTTTTTGGGAAAAAAAAAAAAGGCAATTACGAAAGTTGGTCCCCTTTCAGGATGGGTACACCAGCACAGTTTAGAGCCGTGGTTCTCAGCCCTCCTAACGCTGCGACCCTGTAATACAGTTCCTCATGTTGTGGTGACCCCAACCATCACATTACTTTGCTGCTTCTTCGTAACTGCAGTTTTGCTGCTGTTATGAATCATAATGTAAACATCTGTGTTTTCTGATTATTTTAAAGAGGCTGTGACCTACAGGTTGAGAACTGCCGGTTTAGAGGTTTCCAACCCACAGGGCAGGGAGAACTCTTCTATTGAGTTGATGGGGTGGGGCATTTCTTTCCCATTTTACAAGTTGAAAACGTCTCTACAGATTCATTTGTTGGAGTCAGGAGAGCAGATCAATGACTTTTTAAAAGCCCAGATTTTGTGGTTTGTTTGAGTACATTAAATGCCTACTTGAGAGTCAATTTTGATGGGAAGCTTTCCATGGGGGAAAAAGTAGAAATATTCACACTGTCAAGGAGAAGCCTCTGAGGGTGGAGGAGTGTTCTCTGCCTTCTGGGTATTTCATCCTGAGGTTCTACTCCTAGATAATCCTCTGCCTCCCTTCCCACCTGAATGAGGAGGAGACATAGTCCAGGTTACTCACAGTGAGGTAGTATGCACAGTGGTCAAATCAGATGCTCTTCAATTCACATTCCAGGCTCCCTGGCCAGCTAACCACACCTTGAACCTAATGGAGTCTCCTTTCCTCTGTACTATGGCAATGGTAAGTGCTACCTTATTGGATGACTATTTTGTTTAAGAGAATGATGTGTCTTGAGTCTCTTGGTCCATGCCTGGTACATTTAAAAATATGACCACCCTCCTGATCATCATTTGGTCCTTGTGGCATGACCTCTGAGCAGAAACTATTAGAGATACTTAATTACTGCCTAGCTAGACTCAGTTTTGTTAAAGACTGGAATTCCATTTTATCTTTGCCCTTTGCTATGAAAAATAACCCACACTGATTATACCATCCCTGGGGACTAGGGCACATACACCTAGTTCTAAGACTTCCCTTCGATCTTAGGCAACTCTCTGAAATTGTAGCTGTGACTTGTGACACTTGTGAAATGAAGATGAGTTTATAAATAGCCATGGAACTTTGGCTAGACGGACACATCTGGGTGGCTCATTAAGAAACACTAAGTAACTGGAGAGATGGGTCAGCAGTTAAGAGCACTTGTTGCTCTTGCTGAGGTCCTGTGTTCAATTCCCAGCACCCACATGGTGGCTCACAACTGTCTGTAACTCCAGTTCCAGGAGATCCAGCTCCCTCTCTGACCTCCACAGGCACCAGGCACATACAGGCAAGATACTGACACAGAAAATAAAGAAACTCCAAATGCCCTCTCCAGTCTGAAAACTGCCGACGTGCAGATCTCACAGGTGATAAAAGAGAAGTGATGGCATTTTTTTGGGGGGGGGCAGCTTCAGATCCTGTGGAATCTTCCTTCCAGCCTCTCCAGCATTGACTCCAACCCTGTGGTGTGACACTTGTAGATAGCATTGTGCCAACAACTCCTGTTTCTCTCTCTCCTTCCATGCCCCTCACTGGGTTTCTGGGGTCAAGCAGTGTTTCCTCCAGAAGGTGAGCAAGGCAAGTCAGTCTCCACTTCCTCTTGGCTGTCTTTCCCCCTCCTTCCTTTCAGCATCATTGGAGGATTCATGAGTTAACAAATGACCCCTGCTTTGGTGGTTCAGTGTAGAAGGTTGAAGGAGTCAGGAAGAAAGAACCAAGGGAATGGAGCAGGAGAAATCCATTAGGAGGCACATCTTTCCAATGCACGGGAAATGAGCTAGTGTATATGTATATATAACTGTTTTAGTTTTTGAAATTATAATCATATCAGTTCCTCTCCCCTTCTTCCCTCCAGTTCTTCCCACATACCCCTCCCTTACTCTCTCTCAAATTCATGGTCTCTTTCTTTAATTGTTCTCTGTCTCTCTCCATCTCTCCATCTCTCTGTCTCTCCCTCTCTGTCTGTCTGTCTCTCTCTCTCATACACACACACACACACACACACACACACACACACACACACACACACACACACACAGAGAGAGAGAGAGAGAGAGAGAGAGAGAGACACCTACACCTGATATACAAATGCAACCTGTTCAGTCCATATGTTACTTGTATGCAGCATCTCAGGGCTGAGCACTTGATAGCAGAAAATACTCCATTGCAAGTAACCCATGAACTGAGGAGGCTCTTCCCTGGAGCAGACTGTTCCTTCTGTCCTCAGCATTCCTTAGTTACCTGTAGTTATTGTTAGGGTTGAGGGCTCCTGAGCTTTCCCCCTTTCACATTAGCATATCAGTCAGTGTTATTCTTGTTCAGTTCTTGTTTAGGCCACCATATTGGTGAGACTTCATAGGTGTAACTTCTCTGACATTTCTAGGAGACACACTCTTATGGCCGACTTCCTGGCACTTTCGCTCTTACAATCTTTCCACTATTCTCTCCCACGATAGTACCTGAGCCTTCGATGCAGGAGTTGAGTTGTAGATGTACCAGTTGGGACTGGGCACCACGTGATTTCTTAATCTCTCCATTTTTGATTAGTTGTGGTTTTCTATAATGGTCTCTGTCTGTTGCAAAGAGAAACTTCTTTAATGAGGGATGAGAACTATACTTCTATCTAAAGACTTAGAGCTGGGAACCATAGATAAGAGAGAACACACAAAGTTTGTCCTTCTGGATCTGAGTTACCTAACTCAATATGGTCTTTTCTAGCTCCATCCATTTACCAGCAAAGTTCATGATGCCATTTTCCTTTACAGCTGTGTACATGGACCACATTTTCATTATCCATTCATCAGTTGATGGACATTTGGGTTGTTTCCTTTCTACCTATTGTGTATAGGGAGCAAAGAACATGGCTGAGCAAGTGCCTGTGGAGTAGATGATGAGTCCTTTGGGTGTATGTCAAGGAGTGATATTGTTGGGTCATGTCGTAGATTTATTTTTAGCTTTTTGAGAATTCTCCACACTGATTTCTACAGTGGCTGTCAGTTTACAGCCCCACCAACAGTGAATGAGGCTCCCTTCCCCCACATCCTCTCCAGGCTTGCTGTGTGGCTGTTCTTTACCATTCTGACAGGATAAGATGAACTCTTGATGCTGTTCGGATTTGCATTTCCCTAATTGCTAAAGATAATGGTGACTTTTTTTGAGATATTTCTTGGCCATTTTTATATCTTCTTTTCCCTGTTCAAACCTCAAGCCCACTTTTTGAATGGGTCATTTGATTTTTCAGTTCTTTATATATTATGGACATTAATCTTGTCAGATGTAGAGCTGGCAAAGATTCTCTCCTATTCTCTGGGATTCCTCTTCACCAAGTTGATTATTTCTTTAGCAGCACCGAAGCTTTTTAGTTCTGGGAAGTCCCACTTGTCAATTGTTGGCCTTAAATCTTGGTCAAATGGAGTTCTATTCAGGAAGTCCTCTCCTATACTATATCATGTAAGGCACTGCCTGTGTTTTCTAGCAGTTTCTGAGTTTCAGGTTTCAGGTTTAAGCCTTTGATCCATAAAGAGTTAGTTTCTGTGCAAAGTGGTAGATTCAAGTCTAATTTCATTCTTCTGCACGTGGACATCCAGTTTTCCCGGCACTGTTTGTTGAAGATGTCTGTTCTCCAGCTCATGTTTTTTGCATCTCTGTGGACTACAGATCACTACAGTCACGTGTACTCAGGCTTGGGTCTTCAGTATTGTTCTAGAATTGTAATCCCTCCAGTGCTGTTCCTTTTGCTCAGGGTTGTTTTGACTATCTGGGTTTTTGCGGTTCCATACAAATTTTAGGACAGTTTTTTTTCTTTCTATTTTTGGAAAGAGTGAGATAGGAATTTTGGTTGGAATTGTATTGAATGTGTAAATGGATTTTGGTAGAATGGTCATTTTTATAATATTAATTCTACCAATCCATGAACACGGGATGTCTCTCCAGTTTCTAGTGTCTGAGATTAGCTATTTTTAAAAATTGCATTGACCTTCCAAGAAGTTCTGTGAAACCTGCCATAAGAACTTTTAGAGTCACTCTGATAATGCAAACTGAGGGTAGTAAACACAGAACTATACCTGAAGCTGACTTCGCCTCAGTTCTGACTCAGGAAACTCAGATGCAGCTTGCTAGCTCCTCCCATCCATGCCCAGAGAAAGGCCAGCACTTGCCACGGGTTCCCCTGAGCTGAGAACATTACACTTTACAGTGTAGTTCTCAAGAATTAACTCGACCTGACTCTGAACTAAGAACATGCATGGGCTTCCCAAAGTCTATGAAAGCAGAGTAATGGCTATAAAGAACCGGAATGACTTTAATTCACTTCTTAGCTAAAAAGTCTCCAGGTTCCCTCCAGCGTGGGCGCAGGTTCCCAGCCCATCACTGCTCTCTTACTCCTCTCAAGGCTTTGTTATTTCTGGTGGACAAGTTATTGCCTGGTTCTTTATCCTCCTATGTTTTCTTTTCTAGTCCTTTGGATGGCCTCATCCTGACGTGTGCCCCCACTGGGGACCACACTTCACATGGCCGCCACAGTGAAAGGTATTTTCTTGCATAAAACACGAGTCAGGGTTGTGAAGAGAGATCAGTAAGCAAACTGCACAGGTATGAGGACCCATGTTTGGGTCCCCACACCCAGGGCAAAACCAGGCCTACCAGTATAACCCCTGTGCTAAGTGGGTGGGGGAGGACACAGGCAGATCCCGGGAGCTCACTGGCCAGGCAGCATAGACAAATCAATGTGTTCCTGGTCCGATGAGAGACCTTGTCTCAAAAACTGAGGTGAACAGTTGGTGAGATAGCTCAGTCAGTGAGGGCCTTTGTCACCAAAACTGGCAGCCTGAGTCGGATCCCTAAGACTAAGAGAAAGAGAGAAACAAATTCTGCAAGTTGCTCTTTGGCCTCAACAAGAGTGCCTTGACAGTCACATTCATTTATTTTCACACACACACACACACACACACACACACACACACACACACACACACACACACCACAGTTTATTCTCATAGGTACATGCCGGAGAAGGCTGATAGCGTAATGATTGTTCTGAAACTTTTCCAAATACGTTTCAGAGGATGTGAAAGTTCTCTGAAAAGAACTCCAGCCTTGAGCTAGCGATAGGAAAGCCCACTCTTGAAATTTGTTGAAGCCAGAGGGGTGTGACCGTTCCTTATCTTGGCTTCCCAACTACTGATAAAATAACTCGGAACTGTGCTTTTTCCACTTGGCACTGGGTAGGTGGAAAGGGCTCTGTGAGATTTCTTTCCATGATGAGAAGGGCTATGGCCAAGCTTTTTATTAGCTTCAAAAGGAAGATGCATGCCACATGCTTTTAAGCTGCATTCTCTTACACAGTGCTGTCAGGGCCTGTTCCCATGTGGAATGCTTACATAAAACATACAGCCATTGCACAGACTCCCTGGTCTGTGAATGGGTGGAGAACATGGAGGAAGAGCCTCCTCTTCCCAGAATAGCCCTTTAGTTTCATCCTGATTCCTAGAATCCTGTTAACACAACACAATGTGCTCTAGTTTTTAGTTTGATATTGGATGCAAGTTTTAGACCAAGGAGGAGAGCGTGGGCAGTGTGGGTTTGTACCAAGCTGTGAATTAATTTCAGATTTTCCCCAAGGAGTATTTTTTTTCTGATGGGGAAAAGAAATCCCAAATCTTTGAAGTAAAAACAGTTAAGAAAGCAAAAAACAAAAAGAAAAGATGTTGACTGATCATCTGCCCTCTGCCAGATGGGTCTTCTACAGCTCCAAAAGTGTTATGATCCAAAAGACTGTCCCCGTATAGATCCATATCTCTAAAATGCTTAGTTATTCTGGCTATCACCTCACTCTAATACACGATTCAGCTAGTATCTGTAGTTTATGATCCCCCCCCACACACATACACACAAAGACATTAATGCACATAGCCTTTGGTGTGGATCTGAAGTGAAGAGCATCTCACTCCCCAGTGCAAGTCACCGTGGTAGCCACTTGTTTAGAGGTGTGCTAGAAGAGATCTATCTGGCCCCGTGAGTGTATGAGCCATGGCAGGGGAGACCAGGGAAGACTGCTCTATCTTCTTCCCTGTATTAGGGGTGTGTGTGTGTGTGTGTGTGTGTGTGTGTGTGTCCACATGTGTGTGCTCATTAAGAAATAAATGCCTAGCACAGGCACACCAAAGCTGAGGGAACTTTTGGAGTAGTGAAACCTCTCTGACTAGAACCAAAAAATGTGTATTATTTTGGTCTGTTGGAGACTTTGATTATTGTCATCCAGGGTGATCTGAGGAACACAAGTTACAGGTCCAAGCTGGATGTAGACATTTACTCAGCAGAAACAGGACACTTGCATAGTTCCTGTTTCTTCATGCCCATATGATAGAGCAGGACACAATTTCTCCAAAGTTCCCATCTCCATTTCTTTACAGTGTCTGAGAGGCCCGAGAGCATCCAGTTCCTTGCCTGGAGACAGGTGGGTGGACACCAGTCACAGCTCAAAAGCATCTGTCCTCACTCTACTGGTAGGCTCTAATAATGATTTGGCCATAGACATCCCTGCTTGGGACAGAACCACACAGAGTCTTCTTTTCTTCTTAGCTCCTGTTGCTCTGTTTTGAAGCAGCTTGGAGAAAACATGCTAGAGGTCAGTCCTTCACACAGCCAGTCTGTGTCAGCGACGCTCTGGAGAGGAGGCTTGCCCTGGTTTGATTTGGGTAGTTTGGGAATACCGTGCAAGGAGCAATCCAAAAACATAGAGTCAACTGTTGAGGAGACATTTCTCCACACAGCTGACTCCAAGCACAGATATTACAGAGCTGATTACAAAGTGCAACACAGAGTTTGGATGGCACATGCTACATCTCAACCCCACCACTACCCTTAGACGTGTGGGTGGGGCAGCTACAGAAAGGCTGCAATACCCCAATGATTGGCAGTCTGAGAGGAAATAGAGGGAGAAACCCAGGTCAGCATCATCATTCTCAAGGTGGGCCCTGTGCACAGAAAGCCTCCTTCCTGCTGCACTGAATGCAGTTAATGAGAGCTAGTGGGAACCGTAGCCAGAGAAGAAAGACTGGGATGATGCCACGCGGTGGAGACAGCAGGGCTAGTGTCAAGGTGCTCCTTTTGAGCCTTGATGTGAGTCGGGTATACTGGGTATGTGTTCTTAAACATGTGACTGAAAACCCCCAGTGTTAGAACCAGAATGAGCTGTAGCCCAGGACAGTAGCAAGGGAGGATCAACCTGTTCCAACTTGGAGAATCAGGAAAGAGTGCCTGGAGAGGGTGGATTTGCATTCAGAGTTTTAAAACATTCATTCATTCACTCATTCACATTTATTAGAATCCACGATGTATCTGGCTCTGTATGGGGTGCCTGTGGACGGACATCGCTCCAGTTTCTGCAGAACACGCAGCCTGCATTCATTTCAGACTGGAGGTTTGATAGGATCAAATATGTGGCGTCCCAGGCGGCAGGAGGCAAAGTGAGAGAGCAAGATGGCGGAGATGGAATCTACTGTACCTGGCGCGCATTAGCTACCACGTTTGTTGTCATGACAAAGTGCCCACCAAAGGCAACTTGAGAAGAGAGGTTTATTCTGGGCAACCACGAAGGTGTGTCCATTGTGGCAGGAAGGCTCAGCAGCAGGAGCTTGAGGAAGCTGTCACGTGGACTCCACACCAGGAGGCAAGGGAGACAAACCTGGCACTGAGCCCACTCTCTCCTTTTCATCCTGTTCAGGACCCTGCTCAGAGGATGGCGCCACCCATGTTCGGGGAAGGTCTTTGCTCTTCAGCTAAACCTTTCTGGAAAAACCCTCACAGACACAGCCAGAGCATATTTCCACCGTGATTCTAAGTCCAGCCAAACTGACCATGCACATTCACCATCACAGGGCAACTGGAACATGAAAGAGATGGTGGTTAGGGGTGGGACTGGAGCACGGAGGAGTTTAAGCAACAGTAAACAATGTACAGTTCATTCCGAAGGCCGGAAAGTAGGAGCTCACATTTGGCTTAATGTACATTTTAGCTTGAAAAATTCAGTGGTTTCCTATTAGGCAAAGGACACACTATTTCAATTACATCTAAATTATAATATAAAGACTGAAACCTTCAGCAGGGGCCCTGAGGCCTTGTCTAGCCTCTACAGCCTTATTCTGGACTATCCCACCATTCCTTCATGCTTCTGGGGTCAGGGATGGATACTCTGTCACCACCCACCACCGGGCCTTTGCATGGTTAGTGGCCTTTTCTAGAAACTCTTTGTCTCTTTGCTTAATTAACAGATCATTCTCCAATCTCAGCTGAGCCATTGTTTTGTTCTCACAATTTCTCATGATCCCCACTCCAACCCAGGCCCACTCATGTAGAGTATGTAAATATCTGTTAGTGACTGACTCCTCAATTGCTGTTTCTCCTTTCCTCGTTTACCCTCGAGGACAAAGACTCTTTTGTTTATAGTTTTATCTTTGGTGCCTGGCATATGGCAGACATGCACCAAGTGTTTATTTTAAAGACAAGAGAAAAAGCTGGGTTGGGGAGATAGCTCAGGGGTGTGTGTGTGTGTGTGTGTGTGTGTGTGTGTACAATCTCTGTAAGGTCAGTCTTCCTCTAGTGCAGTGGTTTCTCAACCTGTGGGTCACGATCCCTTGAGGGTGTCACATATCAGACATCCTGTATATCAGATATTTATATTATGATTCATAACAGTAGCATAATCACAGTTATGAAGTAGCAATGAAAATAATTTTACAGTTGGGGGTCACCAATCATAAACTTTGAGGACAAAATAATGGCTCATCTGAGATCTGGAGAATGATCTGTTTATTAAACAAAGGGAGAAAGAGCATGAGGCACTGTATTAAAGGGTTGCAGCATCAGAAGGTTGAGAATCTCTACTCTAGTGGCTGACCAGGCCAGATCTGGAGGGCTCATTGCTTCAGGGGGCTTCTTCACCTGGCTCCGATGGGAGAAGATCCTGTTGTTTTCCATGAGCTAATTAAGAGCAAGGCCTGGCCTAAGCTCAGGGAGGCCAAGGCATAGATTGAGTGAGGATGTGGGTCAGAGATCCAGGGAGTTTCAACTCGGTGTGAATGAAGGGGTTAACATTCAAATGACAGCAAAGTGACAGCCTGAGGAAAATTGCTTTGTCACAATAGTCTCTGAAACTGTGGAGGCTCAGAATGAGTGGGCTGGTGAATTGTTCTTCCTTCCTCTTGGGACTGAGAGAAGAAATGGGCTCCCTCCACAGGAGGAGAGATTGAAGCAAATCATCTCTCGACAAGCTTCCACAGAGCGCTTGTAAGTTCTTCGTCTCTGGGTAAAGAATCAAGGACAACCAGTAACTTTCCCTGCTCCTGCTCTGCTGATGTGCACGGCTTGGGGCAGGCTGAAGATGGTTCTGGGGTGGGGGGGGCTGGCTTCCTGGCCCACTCTATAACCTTTAGCCGATGCTGCCGTGAGGGGTTCTCTGCTGGAGAATGGGTGCTCTGCAGGACATTTGGGGTTCTCAGCAAGAGAAGGAGCACTCTGCAGGACATTCCTTGTTTTAATCTGGTAATGCTTTGTGAACCCCATAAATCAAAAATGCCAGGCTCCAAAGATTGGGGTAAGTTTTATGAGTCCATCTAGTCCTATTTGTTTTTACCTTCTTTCATTCCGTCTCTCCAGGGAGACGGACTCTCAAGGGCGGGCAACCCTCACAGAACTGGCCCAAAGCCATGGTGGCAAATCTGACTCCATTATCCCAGGGCAAGGAGTGCTGTGGTTTCCTCCAACCTGTCCCCTGGTTTGGCATGAACGTGGTGGATGGTCAAGACTGTCTACACAGCCAGCGAACGGATTAAATTGCAGGAACAGTGATTGAACAAGCAAGGTACTATTTTTAATGTAAATAACTCCTGAAAAATGTGCCCAAATTCATATGTTTGTAGGGGACCATGCTGAGACAGTTTAATACCTACCCTGTCCAAATATTTTCAGCATGCCACAGTGCTGACTTAGCCTGCGTGCAGATTCCTTTTTCTTCTTCCTTTTTACTTTCTTTTTTCCTTCTCTCTCTCTCTCTCTCTCTCTCTCTCTCTCTCTCTCTCTCTCTCTCTCTCTCTTTGAGGCATGACACTTTCTGAATGAAAAATAGGCAAAATAGTGTGTGAAAGTATAAGCAAATGGTGAATTTTTAAAAATCATTTGACTAATTAACTTAATAGGCTTAATTATTTAAATTATATGGCCCAATAAACTTGTAGCAGCTACTGAGCATTTGAAATGGCATTGGTGTCTAGATTATCATGGTCCACTTTAGTTCCTTTTTGTAAGATTCCTCCAGTGTCAACCTCCAAACCTAAGCCACCAATCTACAAGCTGTACGTTTGAGACAAGGACTCTGTTAAAAATTATTTGATATTGCACAATTTCATCCTACAGATAGATGTTCAGTGAATGAGGACAACTGAATTATCTCTCTAACCATATAAAGCACATGTTTACGTCCACCTCGAGGCACTCCAAATGGGAAATGACATTCTCCATGGACAGAAAGCACTCAGATCTATACCTTAACCCAGGAAGATCTGTCCTTGAAGGAGAACATGGACTCTGAACCTTTAGAGTAAAGACTTAGATCCTCACTCACCCCTGTGGTTTTTTATTATTGTTTTGTTTGATTTGGTTTGATTTTTTGAGACAGGGTTTCACTTGTAACAGCACTGGCCAGCCTGGAACTAGCTCTGCAGGCCAGGATGGCTTCGAACTCACAAAGAGCTGCCTGTCTCTGCCTACCAAGTGCTGGGATTAAAGGTGCGTGCCACCACTTCCCGGCAACCCATGTGTTTATCCATACAGTTTTTGTGTCCCTTGCTCCTTTGAACACTGGGGGATTTGACTAAATGAAGCAAAATTATCTTCTCCAGGTTTATGGCCCAGTCATTTAGACTAAAAGCCTTGAACTCCCCGGAGTTTGTGATGCTTTCAAGCCCTGGGTGAGTAGTGCTGAAGTCAGACAGGAGCTGAGGCAACATCACAGTCCTCCCTTCTTCTGTATGCTTCTCTTCCTCTGTATGCCTCTGGAAGGAAGCAAGGAAACCTGTAGAGAAGGATGCAACTGGGGGAGGGAGTACGGCATGAAACCAAGAAAGGCAAGAAAGAGACCAGAGAAGGCAGCATTGTTACTGTAAACAAAGCTGTCTGCAGGAGCTTGTCATGAAGATTATTAAGAACCTCCCAAGACATAGTTGTTGATAAGCCAGGAGCAGGGAGTTGCTAGTGAGATAACTGTGTGTCTCTAAAAATGATTCAACTGGCATCAGTCATTCTATCAGAAGATCATGGCAATTCTCCAAGTGATCGGTAACCCAGAATTATGCCTAGGCTGTTGGCTTAGATAACCAAGCAGATAAAGGGATCTATTCCAGAATATTAGAAATATTGAAGAATATATGGGTTTGGGATCAAGAAAATGGTGTCCTCAAGATGGGAAACATGTTTTTGAGACCTCTAGGACATTGTCCAAGTGGTGGAATAGAACTTGAAATTATGGATTTGGGAGATCACAACTAGAGACAGCTAGTTATGACACAGTGATGGCTCATCCCAATTATCCACTTGACTAGATTTGACATCACCATGGAGACACACTTCTTAGAAGTATCTGTATGGGTATTTACAAAGAGACTTAACTGAGTATGGAAGACCTACCCTGGATGTGGGTGGTACCATCCATGGGCTAGAGTCCCAGACTGAATAAAAATGGAAAAAGGAGACGTTGCATGAGTTCTGCATTCCTCACTCATTGCTTTCTCATCATCAAGATGTGAGAAGACCCACCCTCCCACCACCATGAACTTCCCCAGGCTTCACCACCAGGGCTAGACTATCAAACCATTTCTCTGTCAGGCATTTCACCAGAGCCTGAGAGAAGTCACCACTGCAAAGGTAATGGTTATTAAGAACAGGGCATAGAAGTGCCATTTCCTTGTGATCTTACCCTGGGCGAGCTGCTTCTCTCCATTGCAACTTTATGCTTATTCAGTGGGGTAGTTTCTACCCAATGGAGTCATTATGAGGATTAAATGTGACACTACATGTGAAATGCTTAAAAAGTGCATGGCACTCTCAATAAATATTGCTACTAAAGATGCTAATTAGCTACCGAATGAGGATCAAAACCTATTCCTTCTGGGTTTCATTCAGTGTCGTATGACATCAGTGCATCCAGAACCTTTAACCATTCAAGGCATAAGCTCCTCACCTAGTAAGTGAGAACAACGGCACACTACAACTGACTGCTACAGTATTTGTAAAGTACTTAGAACAGTGTCTGGTGTTGGAAATTCTATGGAAGGTTTCTAGTACTAACAATAACAATAATTTTTTTCTGGACTCTGCTGTCTGGTAAAGCAAAAGTACTTCCTATGAAGTTTCTCTGAGCTGAGCCTGGGAGGGTGGAGGAAGTCAGCAGGGAGTATCTGAAATGCACTGAACCAGGAAGTGAGGGATCTAGGCGCTCTGCTATGGCTGAGTGGAGCTAAGTCACTCCTGTTCTTTGGAAGGGTACCTGGGCTCGGAAGGCAAGGGGTAGAGATTGCAAATCTCTCAAACATGCAGATCTCCAGTGACAGTGGCCATATCTAGCACAAACTGAAGCATACTCTCAAAATAAATAAATGTCTCTGTGAAAGGAATCTTGGAAGATAGGGACATGAGGGAAAATCTGGCTAGGAGACAGAAAAGGCACAGGCTTCTTTCTCCATCCCCTCTGGACCCCTGGGATTTGCTTATGGTCATTTGTATAGTTGAGAGTCTCTGGGGTTTGGATTGTTTTCTTATTTCAAAATCGAACACAGCAGGGAACAAGGTTGATGCTTCTATTCCTATTTCATCTGAGAGAATGGAGCACAAGGTTTTGGCTCTCCCCCCTGCCCTCACTCCCACATTGCTGAGATGATTCAATGCCTCATAAGAGAAGTAATTTTGAGATAATGACACAAGGCAGCAATTAAAAAATATTGCTTGTTTCAGGGCCTATAAATTGGCTGTTGGTAATTGAGGACAGAATGTGTTTTCTAATCCACTGAAATCATATCTTATTGCAAGCTGGTGTGGTAATTACTGTATTTGTACAGTACCGGAGGAGCCCCAGCCCGAGTTTGACAGGGAGTTGATTAAATCACCCAGGTGTAATTGAAGGCTTTGATTGCATTGCCTCGGAGCTGATCAGTTTTAGTAATAGCCTGGTTTTCTTCTGTCATGTGCTCTTAGAGCCATCAGTGGGGGTACCATCCTCCCCCCTCATCTCCCACCCAGCCCTGCTGCATCCCTGTGGAGAGAGAAAACCAAGACAGCTTCTTAGTGCAGAGAAAACCAGAGCTGGCAGACAGCAGCTCCCTCACTGCGGACCTGGATGACGACATCATCCAGCAAAAGCAACCTGTTTCTCTGGCTGCCTGCTTTGTTCCTTCAGAGGAAGAGGGCTCGGACCTGTGGCAGCCACAGATGCCTAATGTCCAGGAGAGACAGGAAAAGGAATCAGGCTCATTATTTGCCCATCAGGTGACTGCAAAAATGTTTTTAAAAAAAAGCAGTTTTCAAGAGAGGAAATTTTAACTTACCCATCTTAAATGCATTTTGTTGGTCAGGTTTTGAGGGAGACTCTGCGATTCTATGTGGAGAAGAACATTGGTGTTTATGATGGTCAGGAGTAACTGTAAGCTTCTTGAACTCATGAGTCACCTGCTGCCAGGAGAGAATACTCCAGTTTGGAGGATACAGCAGCAGCCCAACACAAGTAATATCAATATATAACTATGTGCTGCCATGCCTGGGGCCTAACAGAAGTAATGACTAATTACGAAGGTGGTGACAATCATTCTCATTGCTGAATTTGTAAGTGGAAGAATAACTGAGCTCATGGAAGAAACAGGACGGAGATAGGGGGCATTCCAGAAGGCTCCTGAGGTGTGACTACGAGTCTGTGCTATTTGTACAACTGCAGTGATGTCCCAGGTGATGGTAAAGTGGTGGAGACTGCATTCAGGACAGCAGCCACCACGTGGTTCTCAGCACACAGCTCTGACACAGACACTGGAAGGGTTGTCACTTTTTAAGTTCAGTCTCTGTCAAATGAGCAGAAGTGGGTTGTGGCAATTTTTATTATTACAGAATTAAAGAGACAAGAGACATAAAACATAGCATCAACTTAGCATCTTGACCTGAAATGGAAGCTGATCCTGTAGTTCTGCATCTGATTTGCAAGAAGTGATAGTACTCAGTGATATTTGCATGAAGTGGTGGTGGTGCTCAGTGATATTTACTATGCAAGAAAATTCGAGAGAAAATGTTACATAAATTTAGTAAAATTTAAAGGAATTGCAAACATCTTTTTGATCTTTTTAAGAGATGCCAAAGGAGAAAATGCATGATATTACTTATATGGCTCTTCTATTTATGAGTATTAATTTAATAAGTGACAGTCTTTAGCTGTCAGTCAGAGGCTAGCTGGAACAAAAACTTGACATTCAGCCTGTCTGTGCTTAAACACAGAAGAGGTACAGAAATCTTTTTATAGTCTCACGACATTCAGTCCTGAATCTCCACATGTTAAATAAGTCACATGTGAATTAGACAGAGAGATGCCACTGTTGGAGGGGCATGTTGGGAAACTGATTTAAACAGACAGGGGCTGGCAAGATGGCTCCGCAGTTGGTAGCGAATGCTGCTTTTGCAGAGGACCCAAGTTCATTTCCCAGCACCCATGTCAGGTAGCCCAGAACCACCTATAACTCCAGCACCAAGGGATCCAACACCCTTTTCTGGCCTCTGAGGACACACACACGCACGCACGCACGCACACACACACACACACACACACACACACACACACGCACGCACACACGCACCTGTAAGCACATGCCCATACACATACATGAATAAAAATAATAAAATAACAACAGGTAGACAATCTCAATCCCATGACATGGCTTTCTGTGACAAACTATGAGAATCAAGTCACAGGAAAGTGAACAAATCATTTGCTCATTTTGGAAACAGACTCAGATGAGAAGCCTCTCTGCCCTAAGGTGGTGTCAAGTAAGTACTAATAGACCTTGAAATTGATTCCCCACCTCCACATCCCATGAGTTTCCATGGTGTCACTTCATAAGCAGCCCTCAATCTCTGTCACTTTTTCTAAACAGTTTTTCAGCTCGCCTCTCCTACTCCACAGTTCACCTCCCCTCTATTACTACTTTTGACATGTATAAGCATCTCCTAATTTTCAAAATCTGTTTGGGATACACTACTTGGTTCACCTGTTTGCTACTCACAATCTACCATCTGCTACAACATCCTCATGAGAAAATATAGGAATGGAAGTTGTGTAACGATTTCCTCCATATATTACATCCTGCAGGGAAACACCATTAAGACTCAGGAAGTAAGCAACTCAGAAGCCTCAGGAAGTCCCCGAAACTGAGAAGATATACTAGGTCCCTCCCTCTAGCATTCGTGTGCAGCAAAGACTAGGGAGAGACTCTTCCAGACCAACTGAGCTGCCTGGAAGAGTCAGAGACCAGCCAAACAGTCTGAAAGAGAAAAAGACCTGTGGAGCTTTCTGGAAAACTCTCAGATCAGCTGAGCTGCCTAGAATAGGCAGAGACAAGACAAGCATCTGGAAGAGACAGAGGCCACACAAACTGCCTGAAAGACACAGAGAGCAGCAGAGCAGCCTGTAAGAAAATTCTCTCACCTGCTGAATTGCCTGCAAGTTGTTTAGTGAGTTCCAGGGTCCCTGCTTTGGTGGCCTGTCACCCATGTTTGTCTGGGCTTTTGGGGATCAGCTGTCTTTGAGTCATTTCTGCCCCAGTAAATGACCTTTCACCTACATTCCTGTAACCCTGACAAAGGTCATCGGTTCACCAGGTTGGCTTACGTTCGCCATTGGTTCCCTCTCTGTGGTTAATAGACGCTCCTGCGTATTTTCCCAGGGACAATGTCACATGAGATTTTCCGGTGACAGGAGTGTCAGTCCAGAATCTTATACATAGTGAAATTGCATTTCAAAAATTAAAAGGAAACAGACATTTCTCAGATAAAGGAAACCTAAGGGAATATGTTACCACAGATCTATCTGAGTAAATGACTAAATTTAAATTAAAGGGGGTTATTGAAAAAGAAAGACATAAAGTAAAATTTAAAATAAATAAATACTGTTAAAAAAGAAAAAGAAAGACAATTTTTTTTAAAGACTCTTCAAATATTTTGAAGAAGAAAAAAAATACCTAAAAATACAAGTTCAAGAGACTTCTTCCTCTCAAGTTTCCTAAACTTTATGCAGGAAGAATTATCATAGTATTCGATATGATTATCAATATATGTAAAGAAAATATTCATAGCACCTGTATTATATGTGAGTGAGGGTAAAGGGATTTAGAGGCAAGTAAGATTTCTATAATTTATTCAGATTGGTAAAATGTTCCCATTTGTAGAGTTTGATGAGCCAGATACACACACACACACACACACACACACACACACACACACACAAAAATGCCATAGTGGATCAAATCAAATCAAAGTAGAATCTTGAATCTGTCATGTGCCTGATGGGAAGTTAGGAAAAAGGACACAGAAAAGTGAGAAACAGAGGAAAATGAAAATGAAAAGAAAGTTGCAAACTCAAGTCTTGGCCCAGCAGTAACTGTACTTTGTACATGGTCAGCCATCCCATTCGTACCACACCATTTTAATTGTTTTTATTGCACTTGTACATTTGTTTACGTGTGTTTTCAATATAAAAGAAGTTTTGTTTTTTACCTCAGTGCAGAAAATAGTAGCCAGCAAGGGACCTTATTTTAGCACTGTAGCTCCAAATGTAGAGACAAGCTGGGAAGAGGAGAAAAACTTGGACCGATGTGATTTCCTCTGGATTTGCGTTTGTTTCCGAGAACTTGCACAGAGGACGTGGCTGATGCCCTCATTTGGCTGCGAAGCATTTGAGGTTGTTTGTACTAGAAAAAAACAAATCCTTGTGAAAAGCTGGTGGGCTGCTGTCAGATTGCTCTGGGCTAACCCTCAGAATGCCGTCAGCACAAAGATGGAACTAGCAGCTGATGTATTGTGGTAATTACTCAATACAGTGAAGGCAAAGGGGGGGGGGGTAACAGTGAGAAACGTTTTCCCACAAAAATGTTACGTTTTCTTGGGATTTTGTGTTTTCCTATGCTCTGCCAGCAACAGACTCAGTGTTGATGTCTAGTTATGGGTGTTGAAACCTTCCACAGTTCATTAGTTCTCCCTTTGCAAGAACGTGGAAATTCTACTATGTTCTAAGAGGGAACTCAACTCTGTGGCTAGCTGTGTAGAGAACATTCTGTGTAACCTGTGTGCTAGTGAGGCCGCCTGAGCTGCTATCACAGCAGATCAGTCATATTGACTCCTCTCTGGAGAAAGGGCACCCATAAAAGGCTCACGCAGAAAGATGTCCACGTGTCGTTTGCCAGTCCCCACCACACCTCACCAATGGTGCAAGAGGTTGCAGGTTGGAGCTGGTGCAGCCCTGGCACTGCACAGCTGTAATCTACTCCGGTCTCCTCTCCTTTGGCAGAGACAGCTCACTCTTCTCTGTGACTGTGTCTTTCCTTCCAGCAAAGTGTCTGTGCCCTTAGGAGATGCCCTGGGCTCTTGCATAAGTACAGGGGAATTGGGTTCTTCTTTCTGCTAAAATGACAATGGCTTAAAGAGAGGGAAAGGAACCCTGGTGTGGCTGAGGAAGACACTTCTCAAATCTCTTTCTCTCCCCCCACCACTCTGCCATTCCTTTTTCCCAAAGGGCCTTGCCAAGGTCGTCCTGCAGAAGGAGAGATGGCCAAAGGGTGCGTGTTTCCCTCCTGCTCCAAGTCTGCACTGGATTCTACTCACACCCTAAATACATGGATGTTCCTGGGTACAGGGACTCTGTGAAATGGAGCTGGAGCTCCTTACCTGAACTGGAATGAAACTTCAGTAGAGAGCAGCTATGTGTGCTTTTGGTGGTGTGGTACCAATTCCTAGAAGGAGGAGAGAACATGTACTAGGGGACAGGGTGGCTCATACTTTGTATTTCTCCATGATCCCCTAGGATATAGAGCCCCAGTTTCCACCTCAGGAGCTTATCTGGTCCTGGAGTGTGAACAGGAAGCCACCCTAGTGGGGGGGTCATTGGACATGAGTGGGATCAGTTACTTAGTCAACTGTCACTACTCTGGTTATGACCGACTTCAAAAGGCAAGCATAGAAGGAGCAACCCCAGAGGGTCCGTGTGAAGAGCACATCCCCCACATATATCTCAATTCCTCCATTCCCCTGAGGCCTCCTTCTTGTAAAATTTGAAGGCTGATATTTTTCTGTGTTCCAGCTTTGGAGACCACAAAGTTGAATCAAACAGGGAAGGGCCAGGGGGTCGAAAGAACACTATAAGAACAAAATGAACAGCGGGATTAGGAGGGCTCTCTGTCTTCAGCTTCTGCCCCACTGAGCCTAATCAGTATCGTAACTCACTTGAGATCCTTCTGATTCAGCCTCTCACGCTACCCTCTGACCCTAGCAGGATCCTGCCAGCTGTTTAGTAAGGGATGCTTTTGTTCTGGAAACCTCAAGGACAAATCAGCCAGACACTGAAAAGCAGTCCCAGATCCTCACCCACTCTAAACAGAAGATAAGATGTCCTCTTTTAGACAAACCAGACTCAATCACTATGTTATTGTATCAACAGTAAATACCATGTTATGCCAACAGGAAACGTGTCATTCTTGTTTACTTAATCTCTCCACTTTGCACAGATTTCAGATAAAGTTAAACAGATGTCTTCTAGCCCCAGTTTTTTCTTATAGACTTCCAAAAAATCCATTTATACTTTGAAGGCATTTGTTGAGTGCTCTCTCTCTCTCTCTCTCTCTCTCTCTCTCTCTCTCTCTCTCCCCCTTTCTCCCTCTGTCTTTCTCTCTCCACTCTCTCTATGCTGGCTTCGATTTCAGACTATGTAGACAAAGTTAGCCTTGAAAGCCTGGGCAATCCTCCTGTTTCAGCCTCCCAAGTGCTGGGATTATAAGAGTGAGCTACCACATTTGGCTTTGACTCACCCCATTGATTTCCTCTTTCATCTCCCCAAAAGATCATGTTTTATAAATAATGAAATGTCCACAGATTCTTACAGAGCATTACTGGCTACACAATATATCATGAACTATTATATAATAAAGTGAAGCCTTTACATTTTACAAATAACTTTTCACTTCATTACCTGGAAAATTCACAGCCTCATGAGGAAGTAATTTTTATTTTCAACATTTTATAGATGAAGACACTAGAATTTAGAGACCCACCTAAAATGACACCATGAAGAACCACGTTCAGGCTCCCTGACTCCAGACCCGATGTATAACTTTCCCCCTTGGCCAATGACTGTGGCTGTGCTGAGGAGAGTGCTGGCCTTGGGTTCCATTCCCAGCACTGCGTAAACTGGGGCTTGATGGTGTGCACGGGTGATCTCAGCCCTTGGGAGGTGGAAGCAGGAAGATCAAAGTCATCCTCTACTATAAAGAGAGTTTGAGGCCAGCCTGTGCTACAGTGGGCTACAGGAGACCCTGTCTCTCTGTCTCTATCTCTGTCTCTGTTTCTCTGTCTCTCTGTCTTTCTGTCTCTCCGTCTCTCTCTCTCTCTCTCTCTCTCTCTCTCTCTCTCTCTCTCTCTCTCTCTCTCACACACACACACACACACACACACACACACACACACACACACACAGAGTCAAGGTTGATCATGAACACGAACTATTGGTAACCATGCCAACTACATTGATAATAAAAGGGCTTCCAAGCCAGTTCAGGGACTTTTGAAAGTAATGCTACTGGAGCATTCAAACACAATGATCTCTGTGTGGTATGCCAGCAGTGGGAAGCTAGGGAGAAGACCTGTGTGCTCTTTCAGAGCCTCCTAGGCCTATACAGCCAGTCATCAACCAGAAGGCCACACCTGTTCTTAATGCAGGTCTCCAATTGGGCTATTTAAATTTCCACCATGACTAAGCTATTATGTATACTTAGGCTTCAAAACTACAGAAGCCTGGTGATTGATGTGAGAAGTCACCCCACAGGTAAAGGTGAAGAGGCCCTGGTACCAGGCTGCGATCTAATGGAGCCTGTTGCTGTGGAAGCTCAAGTTCTCCTCTCCCGGTACTGGCTCTCTGCAGCCCACTGGCCAGCAGGAAGCAAAGCACTAACATGGTTAATGTGGTTAAGGAATCTTCTAGGACAGGCATGGCTACTTTGGGGAGACACCTCTGTCCCTGCCAGGCATAGTCACAGAGTGATGTCAGGAGAGGGGAGGTAGGGGAACCTTCACAGAGAAGGACTTTTGTATTCTAGGAAGACATTTTTCCTATGGAGTGCTCCTTTGTAGGGGAGAAGTGAGCTTTTCAAAGGTGACTGGGATGTCTCCCTTAACATTGTTCTGTTTATTAATCAGTTTTCCAGAGTGGCCTGTGTGTCAGACTGTACTAAATGACAGGGGTGCAGTGGTGAATTAAATACCAGACCTGGACCCAACGATTCCTTTGGTCCCTGGGAGAGTGGGAAGGGAATGAAGTTTAGGCACGATGACGGTTTGAAAGAGAACAGGAGATGCAGATAACAATTCCCGGGAGCTTTGATTGAAAGTTGCCATGGTGAGAGGGTGAGTGGCAGTCCCAGCCAATCCTTCAACTGAACCACCAAAGCAACCTTGGAAAGCCCCAGGGTGGGCCAGAAAGACATCCGAAGCCACTCCAGGCTCACATGCCAGCAGAGGGGGGATAGGGGACAATGGGCAAGAGACAAAGAGACCCTGGACATGCGGGGTCTGCTGTTTTCTGCCATCTCAAGGATGCCTGGGAAGGTCAGGGAGAGATGGTTTTTATCTGACAGGAATGGATGGTATTTGGAAGTACTGTGGACATTGCTGAGTCAGACTGGGATTAAATCAAATTACACATTCCACCAATTAAGCCTCTTACTCACCAGGAAGTGGGAGCACAGGAAGAGAGAGGGCAGATGAGTTGAAAGATGCTTGTTTATTCTCCACATATCTATCTCCGACAAAAATTTGCTATGATTTCAAGATTTTGTGAATGTATAGAAGGCACCTTTAGATTCCTGTTTATATCCTTTCAGCCTTTACTGAAGGTTACAGGCAGACTGCCTAGGCATGTGGTTAACTTTCCAAGTCTCTTGACTAGTATGCCATCAGCCAAAGAAATGTGCCCTTCCTGAAAGTAGATGGGTCAGGCCATGGCCTCAGAAGCGACTGAACAGCCAGTGAGGAACTGGAGCTGGTGGAAAGCTCTCCAGCTTTCTTTCCTCCTCAGAGGACAGATCTGAGGGGTGGTCTTAAGGATTCCATAAAAATTCAGTCCTCAGCCCTGTGTTCCTGCATCTTCTTGCTATGACAGAGCCGCCCCACCCATGCTCCTTGACCCCGAAAAGGCTGCTCTGCCATCAGAGAATTCATGCCTGGAACCCGGCATCCTACAAACCCTGTAACTGATGCTACCCACAGCTCTGCAGACCAGAATGTGTGACCACACCACTACTTGCCCTTCTCAAAGGCTCCAATGCAATTTTCCTTCCACCAAAATAGTCTCCTGGAGCTGTGGGGTTGTACCAGAGGCTCGGCAGAAAGGACTTACCCACAAAGCTGGACCTTTCGAAGCAGGAACCAGTACTTAAGTGGGCCTGACCCAAAACCCCTGAAAATGACCAAGTGACAGTTTCCTGAATCTTCATAAGGCTTATCTTCTCTACAGCTCACATGTCTTATAAGTCCTTGAGCAAATTGGGTGCCCTTGTTGTCCTGTGTGAGCAGTATTAGGCCATTCCACCAATGGTCCTATAAGGGACAGTCAGGCCTAACAGGAGAGTGGTCACCACTCTGCCAGCAAAGTGTGCAGACTCCAACCACATGTTCTGAGTGGTGTGGTCGGCTCTGCATAAACTCAGTCATTCTAATCCTCGTTTCTAGGTCAGTGTTATCAGAATGTGGCCATAAAGGTTTATCTGTACTCTCTGGCTACAGCATACCTCTGCTACAGCAGCTAAAATTTGAGTTACTACTTGGCTGTGCCCCCGTGAGTTGGATACAGCAAGGAAATCATTTCTTCTCTTAGGACCTACCTGGTTTCTACAGGAGTAAGACTAGTAAATTGCTCAGTTACCTAATTACTGCCACTACTTCTGTGTAGCTGGGTGGCATCCTCCTCCTCCTTTGGCTACCTTCTTTTTCCCTCCCAGATTTCTCCTTCTATGTATTCTCTCTCCTGCCAGCCCCGCCTATTCTTTCTCCTGCCTTGCTATTAGCTGGTCAGTTCTATATTAGACCATCAGGTGCTTTAGACAGGCAAAGTAACACAGCTTCACAAAGTTAAACAAAAGTAACACACTTTAAAATAATGTTCTACAATATTACCTGAGTCCTATAGGAAGGGCCATGATAATATGCTGTGAGTCTCCAGCTGAAGCTTCCTTCAGACCCTGCGTTCACAGCCCTCAAAATCTCTATGTATCCTAATTTCTGCAAGATATAACCACATAATAATTTCTAGAAGGACATTCTGGGGAGCTCAAAGAGTCTGTCTTTGCTCTGGCTTCATAGAACTTCGCCTCCTGGGTATTTGGCTCTGCTCTGGACTGGTGACACAGTTAGAATGACTGGCCTGGGACAATCCCTTGCTTTTTGGTCCATTTCTTCCATTGAGTTGTGGATGCTTAGCGAACCTTTGCTAGCCTTCTATCCGTTTTCTTCCGAGAATACCATGCTTTTTTAGCCAGTTCTGTTGTGTGTCAAACCACTTTGTCCATCATCATGATTACGGCAAAGTGGTGGTGGTTTGTCAAACCTGCCCTGTATTCGGGGACCACATCTTTCTCTGCCTGTTAAAGCTCCACGGCTGCCTCTCCAGCCTAGTGACTTGCATATTCCCCCGGCTCTGCCCTGCTTCTGTGATGCATCCTCTTGTGGTGGGTCTTCTGGCCTCACAGAAATGTATTCTCTGCCCCCTTGTCCCGTCGTCCACTCTGGCGAAGAGACCCAGGCTCTTCTGCATCCTGCATTGGTTAGTTCTTCTGCAAGTGTCAAAGAGCCACCCTTGAAGCACATTTTCACCTCTGGGCTTCTCATCAGAATGTTAATTCTCATGTCACAAGAGAGTAACCCTAGATCAGTGAATCCTTGTCCATCCAGCCTTACCCACATTTCAGCCCTTCTGGGTAAGGACTTTGAAAGTCTCCTCCCAATGCTTTGTTCCTGGGACACATGTCAGCTGCTCAGTGAATTTCTTAGGCATGGAATTTTGTCCATCTTTATCAGACTCAGAAAGCTCCTGGTGGACTATGATAGAGTTTATCCCCAGTTATCAACCAGGACCAGAGCCAGGCAGATCCTGGAAAGACATCAGTTGTCTTTTAGGTTTCTTCAGTGTTCTCAAACACAGTGAAAGTTATCCACGGGGATCTTCAGAGACAATGCCTTCAGGAATATTCACCCAAGTTTCCCAAATACATGTCTTAGGATCTCAAAGTTATCCCTACCAAGATTCTAACTTTAAACTGACAAGCCTGCTTTTGCTTAGCATTCAGTGACCTTGAGCTGTGTCTGTTCTGGGCCTTCAATGTGTTCACCAGCTGTGTGTGCTTTTCCACTGAAGGAGATAGATGTTTCCTCAGCCTTAACTACTTGTTGTCAGTTACCCACAGAAGCGTTATCCATCGTCAAGGTATCAGTACAAGTTAGCAGAACCCAGCCAGTTCTGCAGACCATTTCCCCAAAGTTTTCTAATACCTGAATCACTGCACTGCTTGTGAAGTGACCTCTTTATGTCTATGAGACATGATCCCATTTATCACTGGAGAAATTGTTAGCGAACAATCTATATTTGTGCCAGGGACCATCCATGTCTACCTGTCACTCTGAACAGCAGCCTCTTCTCCTGACCAATGACAAGCATGCCAGTCCCAAATTCCTATTTCACTTTTCTGAGAACTCTCTTGGCTGCCTATGTTCATTAGGTCCTTCAGGAAGTAGACATAAAGATAAGTCAAACTTGAAAGAGATTTATTGGGGGAAGCAACCATGAAGAAAAAGCTTGCATTTATTTAAAAGTTCTAATTCAGATAAATAATTTCCCTACCAGTGACTGGACTCATAAAGGAATTAAGGCAAGCAATTCCTGAGGTATGTTGGTCTTCTCTGAGCCACGGCTTTCTCTCAGATTCTTCATTGTTGAGGTCTAAATTTTCTGAGAACAAGACAAGGAAATTGTAAGGAAATGTCCTACTTGTTCTTTTTACAATCAGACACCATTACTAGCAGGATGTAACCCAAAGGGTACTCGGAGGAATGAAATCTGACAGATGGATGTGTTTCACTTTGCAGAATTTGGAAAATTGAAATATGTACACCATACCATTGATACTTATTCAGGATTTCAATAGGCAACTGCTTTGAGTTCTGAAAAAGCTGATTCTGTAATGACACATTTACTAGAAGTTACGGCCATCATGGGTATACCTGCACAAATTAAAACTGACAATGCTCCATCATATGTCTCTGTTAAAATGAAACAATTTTTTTCTTATTACAATATAAAGCATATTACAGGTATACCACATAATCCTACAAGCCAAGCAGTTATACAAAGATCAAACAGAACTCTAAAGGATATGCTAAATAAACAGAAAGGGGTAACAAAAACCCCCAGAAACAGACTGCATAAAGCTATATTAACTTTGAATTTTCTTAATGCCAATGAGAAAGGAACAACAGCTGCAGAGAGACATTGGATAATAGAAAAAACTGCCAAATTAAATCAGCCTATATACTTTAAGGACGTGCTGACCTCAGAATGGACACCAGGGTATGTGTTACGTTGGGGACGAGGTTTTGCTTTTGTTTCTACAGGAGATGATAAGCTATGGGTACCATCAAAATCGATAAAGGTTCGATCTGAACAAGACAGACCTCTTAATTAGAAGAGGTAATAGTTCATCAACCAGCATGACCATCCAATTTAAACTAACTTATACCATTAACACATGCCTTTTCATTTAATCAGATATAACTTGCCAAAAGGGAACCTCCCCAAAGTTAGTCTTGGGAAAAGGTTTTTGTTTTTGTCTTTTAGGAGAATGAAATCTAAGGAATCTGAAGAACACTGGACAAATGAGACATCTGAAGAAAAAGGACAAATGATCTAGAAAAAAATGTCCCAAGAAAAAGAGTAAAATGGCCTATTGGTATATCATCTATAAAATTTCATAAGTCTTCCTAAATGTTGTTTCTGCTCTTCTCTAAAGACATTTAACACTATTGTTCTTCTTGTAATCCCAGTTCAATTAAAAATTAAAGCTGACTTTGGAGTTGGAGAATGGCTCTCTCCTTCTTTAAACCCAAGCATGTTGTTAAAAGGAAAATGCAAACTCCTTGTATCATGCCGGAAGAAAGAGCCATCTTCTGATATGGGACAGGAGAAAACAAACAAAAAAAAATTAAGGGACTATTCTATTACCACTAATCTCAATTTTTTGATTCTATTCTGATCTTTTAAACTTTTCTTAAAGTATGAATTTTATATCAAAATTTATAAGATTAATGTATATATACATATATATTTTAAACTTTGTTAAGATATTAATGGTCATATAGAGTACTAATTCTAGAACAAAGGCTTCAATTAGCTGCCTATACATGTCTTTGTGTTCGAGTCTCTATCAGTTTTCTGCAGAAAATCACGACCAGGCCTAACATCAAATTTGAAGTCTCCAGGAAGAAGATGGGGCCCCACAACAACAATAATTCCACGTGGACAATAATAATACCACTAAGCTGACAAACATCATCTACAGATCAGCTTTGAACTACAAGGTGCTCAGAGCAATTTTGAGATGACTAGCTGAGATGATCCAGTTTCACAGACTACTTGAATAAGGACTTGAGATAAACCCTGAACTTTGGCATTATACACAGACTGGATAATGAAGGATATGGTTACCTTTCCTAGAATTTGACAATTAACCCCAAATTTTTCTTTTCAGAATAAAGATGCCTTCGCCCATATCCAGCAAGAAGCAATTTTAAGAACACAGCACCCACATTCCCAAAGAGGTGGTGTGGGCCAGGTGGTTTTTGGTCTTTTTAATGGGTTTTGGGTCTGGGATAATTTTCATTGTTTAGGAGGGCTGGTTACAAGTTGTTGTTAAGGGTTAGGAAAAGGGCTAAGCAAAGGAGATTAGATTTAAGGTTCTAGAGGGTAGATTATTGAATCTACTCTGAAAAGTAAAGAGAGGATATAGATATGATATAGATAAAAGATTATTTAATCTACTTTTAAAAGACAATTACTAGTTTTAAATACTTTACATTAGATTGGATTTTTGTTTATTGTATACAAATTATATATATATATATATTGAGATTGATATTGTTAGAAAATGCCATACGTATATTTCTAATCTTGTTCAAGATATTGTACTTATGCAGTTCATTTAACAATGTAATGAAATTTGCTAATCCTTGAATGTTATTATTACCAACTATTAGAATATAAAGAAATGAAAGTTAACAGACATTACCATCGAACTGGTAGTCATATTAGGTATAATTTCAAGATCGAGCAGATATATTTTAGATAGACAGGTCATCTTCAAACCCTTCAGAGATCTACAGAATATGGCATTTAAAATGTTTTAATAACTTAGAATTTTTTTCTTTTCTTATGACTATGAGACATGTCGGCTCCTGGCAGTACTAATCTACTTCAGAGAAAATATGGGCATTGAAGAAACTGCATATGGAGTTAACTTTCATTGTGGCAAAAGTTAGCCACTGGACAACAAAGTGTCCTCGAATCGACTGCTGACAAACAGGACAAAATGGACAGGCAGGACATGAAACAAAGGACTACTGATTCTTGCCAAGACAAGTGTGGTTGTGGCTTTAGCAACAGGCATCCTCGGAGGCCAGAACAGTATGGCATCATCCCTGAAGTGGCCTTTGCAATCCAGAAAAGGTACAGTGCCCCTTTCTTCGAAGGCAGTTGAACTGGCAGTGGGTCGATGGCTTCTGGTGTGCAGTGGAACAGCAGCTGAAACAGTTATTCTTGAAGAGTAACTAAGCTGACAGAGTCTAACCTCTCAATGGTAAACCGGCATTTAATAAAAGAGATGAAGCCACCCACAAGCCAAGAAGAATGGACAGCTGAATTAAAAAAAAACATCAACAATTTCCAGAATTTAAAATCCTGAATCATGACGTGACACTAGGGGAATTCAGGTGTTTCTGGTATATGGACTGCTCTCACCCAAAATGAGGTTGAACTGTTGGCCTTGTGTACATCCTACTTCACAAATGAGTCTGTCAGATACGCTAAGCCTATAGGCTGAAGATGATGTCCCAACACTGTGGAGAAACCTCAGGTGACTGTCCAGGCAGCTGGCTGTTTCTGTCAACTCACAATTTTTTTTGGAAGCCGCTTGCGTGCACTTCCTTTTTTTTAGGTAATGTTATTTCCTTCTTGGGTCTCTGAGGGAGTTGAAGATTAGATAATTATAGTTAAAAATTAGTAGTTATAGTTTTCTTTGTTATGAATTTTAGAAAAGAAACTCACTAAAGAGGTGTAAGTGTATAAATTTGAAAGACATTATAAGATAGTTCTGGTAATATAAGTTAGGATAGAAAGTGAATCAGGTACATTTTGGATTTACCAAAATAGGATAGATAATGGAATATTTTCTCTGAGTTTGTCAAATGCAAATGGACTAGACATTGTTTAGTTATTTATTGCTTGTATATATTATTTATAGTTATTGTACTTATTGTCTATAGTTTTTCTTATGTTAGTTATAACTTTTTTCCTTTTTTCTTCTTTTTATTAGAATAGAAGGGGGAAATATGGTGATATTTTATTTGTGCTGAAATGTGATTTTATTTGTATGTTAATAAATAAAGTTGCCTGGGGATCAGAGCTAAGAGCAAGCCATTTAGCAGAAGTCAGTGATGGTGGCACACGCCCTTAATCCGATCACATGGCAGGAAGAGTCTCTGTGTGTTCAAGGACACAGCCAGCATGGTGACACATGCCTTTAATCCCAGTACCAACCATAGAGACTGGAGGTCTGTATAGACAGGCAGTGACGAGAAAGTCATATGGTTGTGTTTAGAACCAATGAGAAGAAAGAAAGACAATGAACAGAACAGAAAGGCAATGAAAAGACAAGACACAGGAAGAAGTTCTCTCTCAGGGGAAGTACAGCAGCGAGTGGTAAGATAAGGTGGTCTTAGCTCTTGGCTACTGCTCTGATCTCTGGGCTTTTAGCTCCTTATTCGGCTCTGTGTTTCTTATTTAATAATACCGTTTAGAATTACATCTACAATCGCACCATAGTCTGAGAGTCACACCTCCTAACTCTCTATTTTTTAATTTAGAAATGTATGTATAATGTATTCACATGTACATGTTTGTGTATGTGCACACATACATACATATGGGAGTGCACGTGGGAGTTGGAAGTTGATGTCAGGTGTCCTCCATGGTCACTTTCGTCTTATTTTTTGAGATATTCTTGCACCAAGCCTGGGTTCGCCAGTTCTGCTAGACTGGTGGCCATCAAGTTCCAGGGACCTCCCTGTCTCTGTTCCCCAGAACTAGGACTATAAACATACTCTACCATGCCTAACAATAATCTGACCTAGGGACCCAAACTCGGGCCCGTTTCTTGGACAACAAACATTTTACTGGCTGAGACGCCTCCCAGCCTCCCTCCCCACTGTCTTTCACAGGAATGAGGTTTGGAATGGAACTGCCCAGCTGGCCCCACATCTTCAAGCTCCCTCCTCTTTTTCCTTTGCAAGTACTTGGTCCACTAAATTTTGCATATCTAACATTTTCCAGGAATATGTTTTTTGTTGGCCAGAATTAACGAAGTCCTTCTGGGAGCATCAGCTGCCCTTCTGGTCATTTATTTATGGGCCCTCAGTTGGCTGTTCTGCCTTCACTGCCCAGCCGTCCAACTCTCTTACAATAATCTGCTGGAACCCTCACGCTTGCCCTGCAGTGTGTTCCTGAGGAGGCAGAGATGACCAACCTTTGGTGCTCAAGCATTGAGCTACCCTGGGAAGAGGTGTGGTTCTGTTTGAGGCAGTTCTCTGGAGCCGAAAGAAAGCTCAGACGTCTCATGGCTGTCTTTGGACTGCATACTAAGGGCGGTGAGACTTTAATTGAAAAACAAAAGCCTCAAATTCTCAAGCACGTGTTACATAAAAGCTTAATCCTAACCCATACAAGGTCCACTGGGGCTTCCTCTGCTCTCTGTGACTTCTCTCTTTCTCCAGTTCCCTTTGACAAGCCTCCATGATGGCTTGGTCTCACTTTTAGTCGGACTGTTAACTCTATGCCCCTCTGTACTGCTGTCCCTGGCTTCAACATCTCAGCATCCTTTTCTAGCAGAACGGCTTCCATCTCATCCTCTGCAGGAAAGTCAGGGTGCACAGCTGCACAGGGAAGGCCTGGAGATCAGTCTTTGCTGCTCTTCATTGAAAACCTCAGGCAAATGTCAGCTTTTTTCCTTCCTTCCTTCCTTCCTTCCTTCCTTCCTTCCTTCCTTCCTTCCTTCCTTCCATTTTACATGAACATCCCAACGTTACATGAAAACCCAAGGAGATGGGGAGAGACCCTATCACTGCAGCCCAAACTCAAAGCCTCCTGAACAATGCAATAGCATCCATGAAAACCACCAGAAAATTTCCACAGTACAGATAGAGAATCCCGTTTGGTAAAACTTGCTTATTGTTAAAGAAATAGAGAGGACTCTGAAAGTCTCTCTTAGTAACCCATGTACTTTCTGCTGTCCTTAGAAGAAACGCATGAACCTGGTTAAGCCAGTTAATTTGTTTCTCTATCAATGCCTGAGGAAAGGCAGCCTCATGATATGGAGTAACTATTACCTGTGCCCTGCCTCCACCATCAGGATGCATGTGGTGGTTAGTGGCATCAGAAGGCAGGTGCCCTGTGGCAAAGTAATAGTGCAGTAGAGAACCGGCACCTGCTTGGAGATACAGACCTCACAGTGACGCCAGCTTCCCATGCCTCGCTGCCCTCGTCCCTAATTACACTTTGCCTTTAGCTACTCATTTATAATAAAGTGTCCTGAAACAGCAAAGCATGGCAAGTTTCAGGAGAGATGCTGCAGGAACACGGAATGGCTCTCCACCATATACACAATCCCCTGGGGCTAGCAGGTGAGACGGGGGGGGGGGGGGGGGGGGGTGGGGGGGGGGGGGGGAGGTATGGGAACTCCAGGCGTGGCGCTGACAGTCCTGCTCTCAGGAAGAGCCAGCGCCGCTCAGGGCAAAACACATCAATCATTTATAGGGATTCTCAAATACAGCCTCACTCTCTCAGAAAATAGCACCTGCACCCACCCGACAGCAGACACAGGACGGAAACCTTGCCGGGATGACTCTGGTTTTCTTTTAGCACCTTTAAGTATCACATCCAAACTACTGTCACGCCCTGTCTCCGGGGTCTCTGTCATCCTCCCAAGCCACCCACATCTTTCCAGTCCCCACCATGGCTCAAGCACCCCCATTTCTTACCTCCTGGCTGGTTTCTGGGATGAATGCTAGCTTCTTTACCATTGGTCTTCTTCAAGGATGCTATCTCTTTGAAACGTAAGTGGAATGCAGCCGTTCCTCTGTTGATGATATTTGAGGGGTTTTTCCTAATGTCCTTCAAATAAAATCCAAAGTTTCTCATACTCTAACACTTCCACTCACTCCTGGCCCGGAGAGGTGGATCAGCAGTTAAGAACACATCCTGGGGTTCGTTTTACAGCACACATCACTGTAACTCCCGCTCCAGGGGACCTGATGGCCTCTTCTGACCCCTGAGGCCACTATACTCATGTGCACACACTTACATCCAGACATACACAAACATGCGTTGCAATTTAACCTAAAATAAAATCTTTACCAGAAGGTTTCTTGGCCCTCTTTGCTGACCTCATCTTTGCACACGTTCTTAACATACTCACACAGCGGTTTGGCTTTTCCTCTTTTTTCCTCTCTGAGTTTGTTCCAGCTTCAGGCCTTCGCAAGCCCTGCTGCCTCCATGCAGATCTTGTGTGGGACTTCATTCAATTATCCGGTCCAGGGTGGAGGAGGCATGCTGAGTCTGTCCAATATTTATATCCTGAGCCCTAATAATTATTGGAGTAGATCGGGAATGGGAACCTTTGGGGGGTGTGAGGTATGGAGCTCTCATGAATGAGCTGCCTCGCTTCCTCTGCTGCATGAGGACATTGCTAGAACATGGCCAGATGTGAAACACAAAGGCCAAGTCTCTGAGCCCCCTCGATAAGAACGGTGAGAACACATTTCTGTAGTTTATAAGCTGTATAGCCTTGTGTGCTTTATTGCAGAAGCCTGAAAAACAGCAGGCATGTAGACATCATTTGTAAGGGTTGATATTAAGATCCAAGCCCGTGGAAGAGAAGACCAGAATGGACGGGCCAGAGGAGAGGTCGACCTGAGTTCCATCTCTTTGGAGAACCCCGGCTGTCCCAAGAGGGATGCTGAAGCTGGGCGACCAGTTGGGTTTGTCAATTCTATCTTTTAGCCAGGGTCCTCAACCCTTGTATTCATTCCCTCTTGGACCAGTCAGTGGATGTAAAAATCTCTGGGAAGACTTGTCTCTTTTGGCCAGGTGGCCCCACTAAGGGGAGGAGATTCCCAAATGGATGCTGGCTGTCTCAGGTCAGAGGGACCTCTACAGCCATCAGGGTAGTCTGGCCATGTAGAGGTTTCTGGGTGGCACACCCTATGTCCACCAGGGAGTCAGAGCCCACAAGGAACTGAACTTCATTTCCCCCACCAAACACAGAGTGACTGCGGAACCAAGATCAGAGAGTATGGCAATCCAGGGTCAGCCTGCAGTGTGACGTTGAACAGCTGTGCTTATTGTATTTTATTTTTAAGTTTAAAGAAGCCAGCTGGTTTTTTTTTTTCTGTCTCAGTTCTTTATTTCTTTTTGTACATTAAGCCATGATTCATAAGGAGTGGGCTCCAGCGGCTCGGGCTCCTTCCATTGGTTCTCACAAGTGTGCTGCTCCGGGTGGAGCGGGCTGGCACTTCAGCTGAACCCAGGTGCCCTTCTCTTGGCTTCCATGGCAACACTTCCAGACATTACTTTGTGAACAGTGCCCAGTCCCTTCATGTCTACAACACCACTGTTCTTTAGATTCTCATGGCCAAAGGAACACTTCTGTGTTTCCTAAAAGACTTAGGGAAATCATAGTGCCTCTCCTCTTTCTGCAAAGATGGCTTTTGTTATCTGTTTTTAGAAGCATCATTGGCCCCCAGCTTTAATAATATAGAATTGGCCAATAAAATTACATATATTTAAGTTACATGGTGTGATGTTTTGGTAACAACAAATTGTCAAATACTAATGTCTTGGTAGCAGTGTGAAATGGTCGTCACCAGCAAACTCATTAACTTGTCTATCCCTCTCATGTATGACTACCTATCTGACAAGTGTGTCTGTGTGTCCATATGTATGTGCATGTGTATGTGTCTGTATGCGTGTGTGTCTGTATGTATGTGCGTGTGTGTGTGTGTGCATTTGTGTCTGTGTGTGTGCACACATATGTGTGCAGTGTACACTTACAGCCTACTCTCTGAGCAAATTTCAAGCATATCTGACTGCTAATTATTTACCATGCCTACATGTTAGTTCTCCAGAACTGGTTCATTTTATAGCTGAAAAAGCTAGAGAGTGAGGGAAAGAAGGGGCAGTTTTGGTGAAAAGGACCAAGCATTCCCTTTGTTCCGAGGCAGCTACTTGTGGGGGCGGGGCTTGCTCTGTTCTTTAGGGCTCCTTTGTTGTCTTTCCCCTGGGGAACTGGAAAGTCCTGCCTCCTACTCTGTGTTTGTCAGTGACCAAGTTATTATTTTTTTTAATCAAAATTCTTGCCTTTAAAATGAAGTTCCCATTAAGCACCCTCTTCAAACCATGCAAGGATACGTGGCTGTAAGTTGAGGGGCACAGAAGGGCCCAACTAACAGGGCCTTTTCTGTAAATCCAGTAAAGACTGACCTTGTAAGTCTGTATGATGAGTCACTTCAAGTTCAGGGAAAGGAAGCAATCATGAAAAACTGTCTCACCCGCGCTCTGTCGTCTGTTGCTGTCAAAAAGGGAGTCCAAATCCCTGACACAGAAATCATTTCTATTTTTTGAACTTCACACTTTACTATCTCTTAGAATAAATGAGCATCCAGATGGCCCAGACCATACTTTGGAAATCACTAACTTATTCCC